TGAGGTGTAAATTCCTCTTTAATAAATTAAAAAACTGTTAGTTTTTAAGTTTTCTTATATCAGTAGAAACAGGTTGATTGCAACACTCTATGCTCAATAAACAAGCTCAAGCTCGATTAGTTGACCTAGCTTGATTCATTTAAATACATGTATCGATTAATAAACAAACTCAAGCTCGATTAGCTGTCCTAACATTATTCGTTTAAGTATACAAATGAGTAAGTTCGAGGATTCAACTAGTGAAAGCTCTTGTGAAAGCATACAAGTTAAATCCTTATTCCACAAAGGAAGCCCTTGTAATCTCCAAGGCCAAATGAGGATTCTTGATCGCGAAAGCATCATATTGCTCGGAAAAAACGATGTCCTTAAAATATGTTGCAATGAAGTTCAATGTGCTATCTTTCAAGGATTTGTTAGAACATTTGTCGGATATTTCTAAAATATCGAGCGCGTTGGACTTGCTCAAGGATTCTCGAAGGTGATGCTCACATACCTTTCGGAGGGGTTCGTACTTGTTTGCAGCCATTGTCAATGAGTACAAGTGTTTTTCGACCATATCTTTCGGGAGATTCCCACTGTATAGGAACTCAAATAGAGATTGGAGCTCTTTGTTATTCAGTTCGGACAATGATATTGACTCGTTAGGCGGGCCTTTGTCTTCCGAGTCGAGGATGTCTTTGAAAATGCTCGATTTTACTGCCTGCATAGCCATAATATGAGTTTTATGTGTAATTTAATTAATTTAAGTTTCGTGATATTTGTAATCTCGATATAAATGTTATAATTTAATATTATATGTGTATGTACAGTTTTGATATGAAGCCAACCAATATTTTCTAATTAATAGAAAACACAATTAGCAACTACTTAATAAGAAAAAAAAAAAATAATAATAATCCTGTTAATAAAAAACACAATTAACTACTTAATAAGAAAAAATATTGATTCTAGTTGACAATCACTTAATAAAAAAAAAATACAATTATCAACTACTCAAACCACAATGAAAATAAAAGCAGTTATATTTTTAAATTTAAATTTGAAAAAAAAAAAAAACACTACAAAAAGTTTGTACTATTTTTTCAAATGTTTACTAAAATGATTCAAAAAATTTTTAAATGATTTCAAATAATTTTTGAAATATATATATATATGACTGTGTAGTGTACATACCAATAGGGCTTTATGTGCATCAATCGAGGGTTCGTTATTCTTCACTAATTCAATATCATCAGTGCGATTAATCCTGTTCATAAATGCAAATAAAGTTTTACCCAAATAATTAATCTTTTCATTCTGCACCTCAACTATTATTTCCTTCCCCCATTGATGATCCTCTTTCACAAAACCCTGCTCAATAAACAATTATGAAGATAATTAATTAACAAAAAATATTAGCATAGTTAGTTAGGTCGAAGGATTAACGTAATCCCCCCTATATATTAATACAGAATGCGCTGAGCCTACTTCGGAATCCTATGTGGCAAAATTACATGCTTCGTTATTAGGCTTTGGTAGATTTTAATTTAATTCCAAACAAAAAATAATTAGGTTCGGATTACCATAAATATGTTGATTATTTATGGTCATGTTACATGTATTAATTGTATTTTAATATCATTCCTTATTATAACTATTGAATTGCATATATATTTTAAAAATTAATAACTTTTGTATTTTTTATCAGTTTTACATATGTAATATATCAAATTAATCTTCTTTTGATAAGCTTCGATTTAACATCCATATTGTATGTATAAAAAAAAATAATTTATGTTTATCTTTATAACAATAGTAAAATTATTTTTAATATTAATTAGAAAAATAAAATTATTTATCAACTAATATATTTATATTTCAAGTAGTTATATGATATAAGTTATAAAAACTAATATAATATAACACATGTAAGTCATAAGTAACACATATCATTCTAAAATATATAGTAATATATTTTTCTTTTGTAAAAAAGTAAACTAAATTTAATATAATTTTCTCATTAATTTTAAAATTTAAGAATAATTTTTTAACAAACACCTGTGTAATACACGGGTATTGTACTAATAATTCAATATTTCAAAAAATCTGAATCTTAATATATTCAAATTTATGCTAATTAGTTTTGTTACAAAATAAAGTTAAATTAAACAGGAATATGTTCCCGTATCAATTAAAAAGTTCTAAAAAAATAAGCATTAAATATAGAAATTGCGGCTAAGAAATCTGTTTCTATATTAATTTAAAAAAAAAGCATTATATATGGAAATTTCACTTAATATATTTCCAAAATTAGTAATTAGGAATTTTTTGGAGGAAACAGTTACTATTTTAAAAATAATCAAACCTTTATATATATATATATATATATATATATATATATATATTATTTTAAATTTTAGGAAAAATTTTAGCAAGTACTCGTGTCATACACGGGCGTTGTACTAGTTAATTAATATAATTAAATAATATCAATCAATCATTACACATCACATCAACTTTAATTTACAATTTATCCTCTCACATAATTTTAACTAACATCACTTCACACAATTTATATCATACTTTTACATCAAATGGACATTAATTATTTTATTCTAAATATTATTTTAATATAAAATCAAAATCTCATTAAAAATCAACCATACTATTTTTTTCCAAATTAGCTCTGATTAACTAGAAAAACTTATTTTGGACAGATTTATTTGTATACAAACACGATATTAGTCACCTACAAGGAGTTTTATCTCCTTTTTTGAGTTTTTGTTTTGCGGGTGTTTGTGTCTCGTGCATGGAGTTTGTACACCCCTTAGTCACCTGTGTGATTCTAAAAAAGATGGTCTAGACTTTGTTCTGGTGTCAGTAATATCAGTTGACATTTGACACTTTGTTGGTACTCATTTGAGTTTTCAGTTATTAATATAGAG